CTGTTTTTTTTGTTTTTTTTTATGTTAAGCAAGAGAAACCTCGCACACCTCCGCTGACACATCGCAGCACACTTCTGCAAATCCACTGTTTCTAACTCTCGTTTCTGGAGAACAGAAGCATCGATTCATTTCCCTTCTGCTGCAACAGATTTCCATTCTGTCATCACTACCATGGCAACAAAAGGTTTGTGTCGGCATCGAGAGTTAGTCACACAGCTGACCCCTGAACAGGGATTATTCACTCAGTTGCTAAACACCGCTGGAGAAATACTCACAGGAACATCAGTGAAAGTTAAGTAGTAAACTGTGACTGTTGCATTATTATATATGATACTGAATTCATGTAAAAGCTGGATTTTACTGCTGTAGCTGATTATTACCCCCACCCTCTCTGATATACCCCCACAGTCTGGTCTGATTGACTGAAGCACCGTTCGTTATTGTTCCCAATGTGTTCATTCATGTTTAATAAAGCTCGACTGTGAATGTTTAGGTCAGTTTGGACTCGTTTACATTGGCAGAAAGGTAGAAACTGGCACATTTCAACTATTTGTCTGTTACTTTAAGCTTTTTTTTAACCATTTTTTAAATTACTTTTAGTTTTTTCAAACATATTTCTATTACTTGGCTACCTAACTTTAGTTTTTTCAGCTATATCTATATTACTGTTGGCCTTTTCTAGGACTTTTAGCTTTTCTTTACAAATGTTTCCAGTCTTTTAGTTGACTACTTCAACTCTTTCTCCATTACTTTAAGCAATCTACACATTTTAAAACCCTTTATTCATTACTTACAGTTAGTTTGTCACCATTTAATACTTTAATCTAACTATTTCAACTCTTAATCAATTACATCAAGCTAATTTAAACTATTTGTTATTACCTTTTGCTATTTATTTAACAATTTAAGCATTAAATATTACAGGTTATGGGTCAAATTGTGTTAATCTGAAGCAGAAATAAGAAAGAATGTATCCTCACATTATTATTATTGTATTAGTTGAGATACTTTTACTACAGGTCTTTGGTGAGGTAACAGTAACAATCACGTGAAGGCCACGAGTCAAGTTTCTGAAATAATATTAACATTTCACACTCTATTCATCACTTCCTCGGTTCGGTGTATGGTTTCTCTGGAGCTTTTAAACATCAGAGGGAGATTAAGGAAGCAGCGCCGACGTCATGTGAAACATCAACAACCCTGAAGATGGTTTTACTGTCAATAATCAACTTACTGATAAAGCTGCAGAGTCAAAACACAACCAGCACTCTCACAAATTAACCTCCTGACCCGTCGGCCAGGAGAGAGCCGAGTTTAAATCAACACACGTCTACAACACCATGAACACTGTAAAAAATAACTGTAAAAAAAAACAGTAATATTACAGCTGAGCGCCACAAACATACAGTAAAATAACAGAAAATAACTAATACAGTAATTTTATCATTAAAATACAGTTTTTAGCTTTAATTTTATTTACCTTTTTGTCTTAATGTTTAATTAAAGATATTTACACTGTAAAAACAATTCATTGAGC